TATTACGCTCCAAACGGACAACTGTGTGGTAGGTCTAGCCGTCTCGACCAACTGTTATAGCTGAGATCGCTGTATCTGCAGCAAAATATATCCCACTAACATCTACGCCCAGGACTTGGAAGTTTTTGAACTTCGACAGAGTCGCAGGAACAGACAATTGAAGGTAAGGTCGAAAGTCTTCTGTTTACCGCTGCGCATTTTCATTGCTCTACTTCTTTTATCTTCATTTGTTTAATAACATTAATATGCGTGGTAAGAGTGTGCTGACCCCGAAAAAGGCAAGCAGTAGAAATGCTTTGAGTACAATCTCGCCACAGTTACTGACCACCTGATCTCAGTAGTTACTAGGGCTGGAGCTACGAGACGCCAAAGCGTGGCAAAGAAAGCAACTGAGGATACGAAAGCACCACCCAAGTCCACCTCCCTCGGTCGGTCACAATCACGCCTGCAACACTTGAAGTTAGCCGTGCAACCAGTCCTTCCGGCACTGTAAACGTCACTTTACCAAGTAAAGTAAACCGAGAGCCCCGTGCTACTCCCTGCGCCCACCCCGATCTCCCAGTGAGAACCACTAGGTGGAAACGTCAAAGAGTAGGGCATAAACGTTTGGAAAAACCGCATGGACATGATGACAACCGCAATATATGTGCTCTCACTGTCACTAAAAGTGATGCTGCCTTTGAGTGCAACAGATGGGTGCACTGCCGATGTGACAAAGAAGTGCTACATCAGTACTATAACTCTATGACGCGTCACCCGTGCACGTGGTTTCTGTACACTTGCTCACAGTGCCGTCTGAGACCGCACCTAGCTTCAGGCTTACTCAGAGTAACCGACAAATCTCCAGTAATCAAAAAGCAGGTATCCGTCCAAACCACTATCACAGAGGATATTCACTCTCCAGATGACTTTGGCAATGGCCTACAGAAGGCCAAAAACCTGAGAGGTTCTAAGCCGAACGAAACACTGCCTACACCAACGACAACTGCATCCACCTCAAGACTTGGAGTCACACCAGAAACAGCATCCAGCGGACAACATAGAGAACGGGTCAGGGTAGAAAAAAGCTCAAAGCACCCATGAGAAAGCACCTATAGGATCGAATGATATTGGCATCACTGACCGACCTAGCTGTCATTCTGCTCAACGTTCCCGCCTGTGATGGTAGCCTTCTGGAACATAAAGACAAGTTTGACAGGCAGCAATGGGACTCCTTCTGTGCCATGCTAGGTCTGGGCGTTCTCGAGGCAAAACTGTGTCGACTATACAAAGGCACCCACTCACCCACAGGGAAGCCTCCGTCGATGAGAATGACTCTAGGCTCAACTAGAGATGCTGAGAAGTTCCTCTTTCTGTCACACATCCTGGTCATCAGCAGATCGTCCAACATTAGAGCCAGATCTGACCGATCATGGGTGTCGAGAAAGACATCTCGAGAAGCAGCTGGTCCACTAAAACCCACAACCATGGTCGTACACGGAATACCTGATATGGTGACTGGTATCCCAGGTGAGAAGTACACGCACGACATCAAACAGTGGGAGTGGTTATCGGCTCGGATGGAGCTGAGGGGGGTTGCAGCCGCGACTAGCAGACTACCACGTCCCCTGCATCTGACAACCATGACCTCACCTAGACTAATGGCCGTCAACTTTGAATCCCCAGAAGTGATAACCAGAGTGCTGCAGATGCAGTACAAAGTCAAGAGCACCATAAGCGCTAACGTTCGCTGCTGTGAAAGCAGACCAAGAACATTGCGACAACAACAGACAGCAGTTACACCCTGTGCTCAGTCCACCGTAACCCTAAACCGAAACGTTGAGGGTCGGACTAGCAACCTCCACTCAACAATGAATGCACCAGTCGACGAGGCAAAAAACTTAACCGGGCCAGTTCCACTGGAACTGGCCAGTCAGTAGAAACCCTCACATCTAAACCAGTGCCACTGGTTAACTCAGATACATCTCATGCTACGGGAAACGCCTCCAAGTGTCTCTACATCAGCGCGAGAGGACTAAGAAGTGAAATGCCAAAGCTCCGATCCCTCTGTCTCGACCCCGCCCCGAAACTCATGGTCCTGACAGAAACATGGTTGTCACCAGGCATAATTGCCATCGAAGTTAACATAGATGATATGATTCTGTTCAGGAGAGACAGAGAACATAGGGACGGAGGGGGGGTTGCAATATACATGAACAAGTGGTTCAGAAGCGAACGAACCACTGACACGGCACTGACAGCGCTCCCAGACACTATCTGGTGCCACTTCGCGGTCAAACACACCAGATTCCTAGTTGGAGGAATCTATAGGTCCCCTAATAGCAACTTGGAACACAACCAAAAACTACTGCATGCGATATCCACAGTGTCAACTATAGTGTACGACCAGATTTTAATAGCTGGCGACTTCAAAGCTCCGACCGTCGGCCTAGAGCAGGGTGGCACTACCCCGAGCCGGAAGTTCGACTGTAACCTGCTAAACGCCAAGTGGCTGGACTGTAGGAACAAATCAGTGACAACACCCGCCGGGGGTCAGATGGTAAACCATCTAAACTGGATTACCTGCTGACTAGCGATCCCCTTCTGGTTGAAAACGTTCAGGTGCAAACCCCTCTTGGAAATAGCGATCACGCTACGGTAATGTTCGACCTGGTATTTAGTGAAGAGCTATCATGGGAGGGACCTCGCCCTTACCTGTGTTACAACAGGGCAAATTGCGAAGGTATGAACAAGAGCCTTTCAACAGCTTCGTGGCCAGTGGATTGGTGTTCCTTATTGATCGACCAGCACTGCTAACTGGTAAAAGATATCATTAAGGCGGCCGTCTCACAAAACCTTTACCGATTCATGGCAAAAAGAAAATCGACAGGCCAAGGAGCATGTGTCATAAAAGGTGCGAACGGAGAAAATCTCTCTGGACAGGTGATTGCTGAAATGCTGAGCACCACATTTGACACACAGCTCAACATTCCATCAAGAAAGTGTGCATACCATTTGCAAGAACAGCCTTCAACGTTACCTGATGCTACTGAGTTACACGAAATTCAGATAACTCGCGCTGTTGTTCTCGACAAGCTTTTAAAGTTAAGCGTGGGAAAATCCTCAGGGTGCGACGACATTCTTCCATCTGTGTCGAAAGAATGTGCAAGTACCCCAAGTGGCCCACTCTGCAACCTCTTCCAACACTCCTTGGATGAGCAAAAGCTCCTACGAGAGTGGAAACGGGCTATCCTTTCTCCCATCTTCAAAGGAGGAGACAGACAGAATCCCGACTGTTATAGACCCACAGCACTTCTACCAGTAATATCAAAAGTAACGGAAAGTGTGATGGACGACCGTATCAGAGAATACCTGGACGCCAAGCAGGCACTCAGTGACGCTCAACATAGCTTCCGGAAGAGTAGTTCCTGTGCCTCCAACCTCCTGACGGCCCATGATCACTGGACAGCGTGCTGGGATCTCAAGGTCCCGGTACACATAATTTTTCTGGACTTCACCAAAGCCTTTGACACCGCCTCACACCACATTCTTATACATAAGATAACTGGGCTGGGTATTCGCAGCCAAGTGCTATCGTGGCTGCAGAACTACTTAGGCAACAGGCAGTCCTGCACGAAAGTCAACAGGGTCCACTGAACTCGGAGAACATCCTCATCCGGTGTCTCACAAGGAGCAGTCTTGGGCCCACTGTTGTTCCTACTGTTCGTAAATGACTTGCCGCAACATATCAGCTCCCCGATTCTCCCGTACGCTGGTGATGTCAAGTTATGGAGGGCAGTAACTTGCGAAGCGGAATCTATGGCATTACAGAAGGACCTCAGAACACTAGAGGAATGGGGAACTAATAACGAACTGGCATTTAATCTGGATAAGTGCCGTTCCATGTTTTTCCGCACTCCTGATCCCCAGAAAACATCCTGCCATCTCTGTGGTTCACGTCTATCCCATACCACAGTAGAAAAAGACCTGGGTCTAACGGTGACGGAGAAACTGGACACCAGTTCCAATTACCCAGGTGATGTCTCAAGGGCATATGGGGTACTACACTTTGTGCGTAGACAACTGGGTGCCCTCACCCCAGAACTCTTTTTGAAGCTCTACAAGACTTACATACGGCCCAACTTAGAGGTCCATAACGTCTTCGCTCCACCACAGCTGAAAAGAGGCGTGAACTTACTAGAGAAAGTCCAGAGGCGAGCCACCAAAGGGGTTGTTGGAATGCAACGAAAATCATGTGAAGATGGACTCAAAGACCTAGGTCTATACTCACTTAGCTATCGAAGGATACGTGGCGACTTAATAATGGCTTACAAAATAATGAGTAACCCAAGTCACCCAAACAGAGGAGTCCTACCGAGTGGCCACTACGGAGATCCTCGAGAAAACCCCAATAGAATAGCACACCAGAGGTCAAAAACGCATGTGCGTCCACAGTTCTTCTCCCTTTGAGTCCGTGGGTACTGGAAAGCAGTACCAGCAGAGGTGGTCTCCGCCCCCACTGTTGAAAGCTCCAAGAAGAGGCTAGACAGTCATGCAGAGACTCACGGTCTACCCAAGCATTGCTGGAACACGAAGTGATGTCAAGCCACCCCAACCAGCTTTCTTTCTATTGCAACCATTTAAGCCCTTTTCACCCCTTCCACTTGCCATAAGTCAGCTTCACTTACCTAAGATCTTTATACCTTTGCACCCCTACTCACCTTACTTGGGTGTAAGTAGATTACTCCATTAGTTCACTTTTCCTCTCTTCTTTTACTCGCACAAATACTTTCTAGGTTTTCTCTTCACTATCCCCAACCCTCTCTAGCGACCAGTCCTAACAACTGTCTGGCAACTCGACATCTGAAGAAGCCAACTGCACCACAGTCCAAGGCAAACAAACCAGCACTTAACTTCCTGTTCTGTAAATCAGAGCTGTAGCAGACGAGTGGCTGGACCTACCGCCAAAAGATCTGAAGCCGTTCCACAAGACCAAGAAGCCAGCGAGAGGAAATCAATTAGTTTACACAAGTTCGTTAAAAAGATATTGGATACTGGATATTGGACGTGGGCTATTTGATAGTCAGCGGAGCAAAAGCCAGTGATGGAGTTTTGTAAAGATGGCAGTTAGATCAGAACTTAGCGAGCAGAAGCTAGGGTATATAAGAGAGTTTGTGAACAATAGAGACCCTAAAGAAGAATATAAACTTATTCAAAGCATTGGAACTGGTACTTATGGCGAGGTGTACAAGGTATATTTCTATAAAGATTTCATTATTTGCAGGCAATACGACTAAGAACAAAAGAATTTGCGGCTGTCAAGATAATTAAAGTTGATGCTAAAGATGATGTACGTGCTATACTCCAAGAGATACAAACTCTTCGTGAATGTCGACATTGTAATATTGTACAGTTTTTTGGGAGTTATTTTAGGTAAGCAGTAATCATCATTCCAATCAATGTAGAAATAATAAACTGTGGATTTGTATGGAGTTTTGTGGTGGTTTCTCAATGCAAGATATATATACAAGTAAGCATTTCAATGCATATGTTAACAATCATATAGATATTCAACGGCCTATTGAAGAAAATTGTATAGCTTTTGTATCCAGAGAAACATTGCGTGGCATAGAATATATGCACAAAGCTGGAAAAATCCATCGAGATATAAAGGTAATTTAAGCTTGAATTTTCTTCTCAGTCTTCCAGAGGATTTATATTACTGTCTGTTAAGTATTTCAGTAGTTTTATTTATTTAAAAAACTGTTATTTACAAGCTAATACTAAAACATAAGATAGATAGTTAAGTGGATTACATCGGATAAGATTAAAGCTCTTCTGAGGTATTGAGATAAGATACAGTGACGCTTATACTTCTGTTGGTCGCTTTTTCGATTTATTTTACTTTTCCACCTACTACAAGTGGCATATTCTAGTTGTTTGTGAAATGATTCTTGTAGTACTCAATCCTAAAGCTGAATAAGTTCTAAGGCTTTTGATACCTTTATAAATCTATACTGTACACCTACCGACTTGATTATTTACATCTTAGTAAACGAAAAGAGTTATTAACCTAAGGTATGATTAGATTTCAACCTGGAAGATTTAGAACAGTGGCTCGATGATAATGTACTGGCCGCAAAACTTCAAGGTCGTGAGTGTGCACAGCTGAAGGGTCCTGCACTAGATGGACTTCCAGGTTTCCAATGTTCCAATGTTCATGATGAATACCAAGTTCAAAAATTTCTAAATTCGATTAAACTAGCGTTCATTGGTGACTAGCTTTGAGAGGTAATTTTCGAAGTTCCAATGAAAAGTCGTGACCCGTAGAGTCAACCATATCGAACATGAGGAGAGTTACTCAACGATGACATTCGGTGACGGTCGTGTTATGTCATGAACTAATAGAAGTTAGAAATATGGATCATTAGATTCCGACACAGTGGCTCAATGGTTACGTACTGGCCACAGAGCCTGAAGGTCGTGGGTTGGGACCCTAGTGGCGGACTGCCGAAGAGTCTCCTATTAGGACGGAACAAATGATGTCCAGTGCTCCCAGGTTTCCAGTGTTTCTCCAACTGATGTTGGTCCATGGTGAATACCAACTTGAAAAACATAAATATGCTTATGTTTTCTTCAGGAGTTTGTTAAAGCATCTATTTAGTTATTTACCTCCTGTCTTCATTGTCCTGTTGATGAGCAGGGCTCAGTAATCGGGTTATATTCAGGAAAAGTAGTAGACAAACATGATAGTGAAAATAGTCTTCTCCAGGAAGAAAGTTAAAAACAAGCACAATCATTTTCTTTAGAATCACAAATAGTCATTACCTCAGTGAACGTCCATTGTTTGCGGTACATAATACGGTAGTCTGTAAAAGTTTTAATCCATTTTTCATTCCAATCGACTCGTAAGTAGTATACTTCTCATATAGGCTAAGTTCTGTTTATGTGCCAAATGTTTTTTACTTAATATTGTCAATTCTTATTTGCTTAGGGTGCAAATATTTTACTCACAAATGATGGAGACGTCAAAATTGGTAAGTCTTTTGTACTTGATCTCTTATCCACCAAACATTTACAAGATCATCATCTAACAATCTGAGATAACCGTAGTTTAGCAGACTGGTATTTATACTGGGTGATGATTGATAGCTCAGTTGTTAGAGCACCGGGCTGGTAACTCGGTGGTCGCTGGCTCGAGTCCGACCGCAATCCAAATTTTCATTTCACCTTCAATCATCACCCAGTATATGTACAAGATCTTTAATGGACTATCATTTTTATGTTGGCAACTAAGTATTTTAAATAATGTTTTACCTCATTCTATCTGTGCTAGATAGATAACCTCATTTTGTTGCAAAATATAGATTTTACCTGAATGAATAGAGTTTTATTATCATTACCTTGTATGTTATTATATCACTCTTGTGAAGCCATTTTAAACACGTGATAGACAGGCCATACTAAGTTACAAAATCAACAGATGTTCATATTTTTTGAATATTTTTCGAACAGTACACATTTAGATTGTCGTGAGGTTTTTGTAGACTAAACCTGGTTGACTCTGAGAACCTAAATAATCTTCCACTAGTCATCAGACTACTACTGTTATAACCTGTTTTCCTAACTCACCTGTCTTTCTGTCATGATTTCTGATGGATTTTTATGATGTCACTAGTCAATTTTACTCAAGTATTCGAAGTTCCATGACAACAATTACCGCTACAATCCAAGTTGTCTCACATCAGATCAGCAGATCAAGATTATTATATCATTTCTCCCTTGGGTTCCTAGTGGAACATAAGGTCTCAGTAGCACGTCGCCATTTCACTCTATAATCTGCAGTCTTCGTAATCTGGCTTCACGACTGCCCACAAGCCCTCATTTCTTCCTCACACCATCTCCCTCATGTCACCCTCGGACACCCAACTAGTCCCTTCTCCTTCGGGTTCCACTTGACGGCTTGGCCTGGCGCGTCATGTCCCAAAACGGTCTACTCATTGCACGTCCAGTCAAATCCATCTCCACTTTTCTCTGCATATTTGTTGGATGGTAGGTTCTTGGTTGTTTCGTTGCAAGCCAGATTAAGTTCCTCCTTGTTTATTCTATCTGGCCATCTGATCCTCAATGTCGAGTAAGCGTAGTTAGAAGCTGTTCGTGTATGTCTGCAGTTTATTGGAAATGCTTTTCTTAACGCGCCAAGTCTCTCAACCATCACATAGAAGCACTGACGACTGACTTAGTGTTGGGGATCTGGATCTTGCTGTTTATGCTGAGTGCAGTGCAGTGCAGTAGATCTCAACACTGAATTCAGCCTAACGAAGGCTTGTCTTGTTGTCTTTCTGATGGTGGCTTTGACATCCTCATCTGTGCCTGTGCTGCCTGTAGTTGAAAGGACGCTGACTAGGATGGTAGGTGAGAGACAATTTCCTCTAGATTTCTGCCGTTGATGGTGATTGGTGTTTGTTATTATTGGTTGGGTACCAAATATCAATCTGAAAAAAAATGTATCATAGGAAGTAAAACATTTTGCAGAAAGTAGACAAAAGGGTAAGGCAACCAGCGACATGTGATATGTTGATTTGAACCAAGATAAGGTGTGTATTTACGCCCTTATGATGGATTTTCAGCCATACAGCCTGGTCTTCAGCTATTGATTTCAGTAGCCACACGGGTCGTAATTGGAAAGTCTAGCTCAGATCAACAACCAGAGACTTCATAGTTTGGTGCCACATTCTAGTCTCTCCGTTCTTAGCTTTTTCAGATCTAACCTTACTTCAGCTAACGTCTTGTCTCTGGGTAGACGTACATTGGTCATGCTCAACACATGTATGCCTTTGCCATCTGAGTCGACAAATATTCACAAGATAAACTACTGGCTTACTTATTTTGCTTAAGATACTACGCCCAACTTCTGGATTACTGAAGTGGTATTCCTATGACACACGACCTACGCTACGAAGGTTAATGTGGTCAAATACTTGAAGGGTATTCATGTCTTCCACCTTGACTGACCGTATTTCACGACCATATAGTAAAACAGAGAGAACTGTTGTGGATTACACTTGACCCTTATTGATGAAATGGATATTTAGCTGGGACCGTAGATGCTGCTTTTTATAGAGAGTCAGTCGGGCTTTTTGTATTTGTACCGCGATATCTTCGTTCACTTACTCATTGGAACTGATTCTACTTGCCAAGTAAGTGAAGTGATCAACGCGCCCAACCATTCCACGAGGTGTCAACACAGACTAGTCATGAGGCAAGTTGTCTCAAGTTGTCACTCGGTGTCTAGAAAGCTTCGCGTCATTTCCAGACAATGTCATCTATGTACTGTAGATTGGCTGACGAGTATACTGTTGAGATTATATATCGATGAAGTTAGAAAAAAGAGCTGGTATTTGGCTCCGGTAAGCTTCTTCAAAAATCTCGCTGGAGGTGAGAATGTGATCGATCGATCAGTTTGAACAACTGTCTATTGTTGCCTATTGCAATTGCGTTTCTCATCCATTCAACCTTCACTGCCCACCGTTACCATAGTCATTGTGTAGAATTTCTATCACTCTACACTTTTTACGTCTATTCCTCATTGTGCTCAAAGCCTACAGGAATGTGAAGTCATTAGTTCAGATGGAAGGGTTAATTACCACTGACTCTGACCTTTTTCTAAACGTCGGTTATGATCTTTAAGGCTGGTTTCAAAGTAGACTGGAGATGGTACCAAGATGAGTGATGCTGTCCTGTTTCGATAATTGTTTAGGGAGTTTTCATTGAAAGCATCCTTAGTATTCTCGTCAAGTTGCTGTCGTAATACCTGACCGATGACTGCTACTTTAAAGCACTCATCGGGCTTGAATATCACAGTGATCCAACTAGCTATCCTGACAAAACGCTTGTTTCGTCAAAAGGTTGGTTTGATAATGGTACGACAAAAAGTAGTTACTGTTATAGTGTAAATTGTTACTCTGTGACGAGGTTCGACGACTACTGACTGCCTGGGGTGTGGCAACAGTAAGTTGTTTCCCTTCAGTGACTAGCAGTACTACGCCGATACTGCTTTCACTACAGAAAGGTGGTGGCGCTGGGAAAAGTCGACCCTAAAAATACCAGACTCCCTTCTACCTTGCGAAATACCTGTGCTAGCGTTTTGGGTCCACTGTCAGATTTGAAAAAAAGCTATATGAAACCTCAAACTTCTAAAATGGATGCATATGACTGGCCTTAAGCGGATATCTCTATGGCTTTGCCGTCACGCACTAACTCTCCATTTTCAAGTGCCTCAAGGAGAATTGACTTTTCACAATGTGGGCGCTGGGAAGTGTTAACCACCTGCATACTTCCAGTAGTATACAAAACCCAATAAAACATAACACTCCATATCTTCATCTCGTCGATTGCCTTCACTTCCTGATATCAATACTAAATCTCTTACAACTTCAATCTCTCACTCTATCACTATTGCCAACGATTTAAGTCAAGGAAACATCATTTCTAGTCTCTTAAAACTCTGCTGTCAGTGAAACATTGGAGCTTTCAACGTCCGAACCCTATACAAAATCAGACAACAGGCATCTGAGACACGTACACAAGACCCTAGTATGATTATTAACTTGACCTTATCTAGCCAATATGATGAGTCTTCAATAATCACCTTATGAGTGTCCAGAGATTCAGTGGCTTCCAGTCGTAAACTCTCTGGTGTAGGCATAGTATTGAGCTGTAGGGCAGAAAGTGAGCTTTTCAACTGAATTCCCGTCAACAACCGTCTATGTGCCGTTCAACTGAATGAATGTGTAAGAACTAGGACGATTATGGGAGGAACCGACGCCTATTCGTAATCTCCTCCTACGCACCTACTGATTGTAGCTCGGATGAATTCTGTGAGAAGCTGTCAAGTTTGCTACAGGAAGCGAAACGTTAATCAATCAATCAATATCAACATAGGACCAGGCATTACTACGTAACAGTCCGAGTTGTCACACCTCATATCACTACATCAAGTAGAAAGGTAGTGAGGCGAAAGATGAAGATAAGAGAATGTAGTCAAAAGAAATATAAAGTATGAGAAGAAAGAAAAGAGGAATGATAAAATGGTGAGATTCGATGTAGCGTCATTAAGATGAGGGTAATGTATGTATACATATGCGTCACTCACGTCGGTTCTGAGCCATGGGATCACTTACAGTCTACAACTACTGGTTCTTGTCCCGCAGACCCCAACCACCAAGTCTGCATCGCCACACATTGTTAAAACCAACAGGTAAACACTTCATACATTGGCGTCATGTTTTAGTCTGGCCACCTCCACCCTTTTGCCAGCCTGGAACTACTTTGGCCAACATTGGGTGATGAGGAAATCGGTGAATAGGCATACGTAGTACGTGTTCCAACTAAACATCTCAATCGATGAAGGTTGGTAACCTCGTCAACTGATTTACCTCTTCTCCCTCCCTAAAACTCTACACCTGACGTCTGCGTTTACTCACGTGGTGTGGTGACACCACAGAATACGTCCCATAATACGACGAAGGCAACGGTGGTCAAACACTTGAAGCCTTCTCATGTCTTCCACCTTCAATGGCCATGCTTCACAGCCATACGGTAGAACAGAGCGGACTACTGTGCAGTACACGTGACCCTTAGTAGACAAACGGATATCACGGCGGTGCCATAGGTGGCGTAAAGTGGCAAAATCCAGCCAATCGAGCCTTTTGTATCCGTGCAGAGATTTCATCGGCCACTGAGCTAGCCACTAGGGTTGATCCTACTTCCCAGGTAAATGAAGTGGTCAACACACTCAACCACTTCACTCTCTATTATTATCCATGGCACTGCTAAAGACCAATCCTAGAGTAACATTTTGCATTTGGGTGGTGATAACTGCATCCCAAACATTCTCAAATTGCCACTCAAAGTGTTCAGAAGACTCTGCATCTTGTCAGCGTCTTCACTTAACAGGACTATGTCATCTGCCTATTCTAGGTCTAACGAAACGTTAAGGTATAGTCATAATGGCAGGTGACTTTATCGTTCAAGTAGGAAAGCTGAATCAGTTGGAAAGACGTCTTGCAAATTATCCATGGGATCCCATGCCGACAAACCGACAACGATGGTTGTTTGTTACAATTTTGTCCTAAAAATCCATGTCTCATGCATGGCATCCACCAACATCAAACCAATGATAGATACAGGTGGATCATATTGTTATAAGCCATCGGTGGAAGATTGTCACTCTCTGGAGTACCATGATGGACTCAGATCACGCGCTGGTATGGGCTCGCGTATATCTGCGCCCTACTGGTCGCGGAAAACAGGTGGTAGCTAAGCCATTGTGGTCGATTAGAAAATGAGAAGGTGACGAAGCAGTGCTCATCGTGGGGAAATGTGGCGTGATATTAAGTCTGCTGTAGAAACAGCGATAAAGACAGTTAATAACCTAGACCTGAAGGTTAGCAAATGTCATTAGATTTCCGCGACGTCATCTGAACTGATTGATACCAGAAGGCTGGTTCTAGCTGATTCTAACCGTCATAAAGAGCGAAAGCTATTTAAACTTAGATTGACCAAGTCTTCGCAAAGGTCGTGAGGACTGGTGGGTGGGGGAAGCGAGAGAGATGAAAAAGGCATCAGGGTTGGGTGAGACCCGGCAAATGTTTAGAAATATTAAGGTTACTAGCTAAAAGAAGGCGATAGTTAGTGAAACCGTCACCGAAAAAGATGGGATGCTGATAACCTTTTATGACAGCCAACCAAAACGTTGGGCGGTACATTTTGAAGCACAGTTTAACTGGCCCACAGCAACGCTTCAGTTCCCCAGCATGCAGCCTGAACCCGAACGTGACGTAAATGTCGGTGGCTCAACTGTTCTTGAAGTTGAGAAGGCTTTGTCGAACCTGAAACGATATCAAGCTATGGGATCTGACTGTTTACCATCAGAAATGAGTAAGAAATTGCTAGTTACAGTAACGGAGGTACTAGATAGTGTATGGGAATCAGAAGTAGTCCCGTCAGACTGCTCTACTTCAACGACCATTATAGTGTATAAGAATGGAGAGCAATCTTCTTGGAACATCCATTGGGCGGCATTAGCTAACTAACATCGTGTTCAAGATCCCGGGGTCCCTATTTGTCCGATGCTTACCAGCACCTCAAGAACAGGAAAGTAAATGAAATCAAGCATGTTTAAGACCTGGACGAGGGTGCATCGATCAGATTTCCACTTTTCGATAGGTTCTAGAACACAGGCATATTTCTTGACCTTAAGGTGGCGTTCAACTCTGTCGACCACGGGATGTTGTGACTGTGAAAGAAGTACCAAGCAAGTGTGTGGCGCCAATCAAAGCTTTCTGCTCGAATTCATGCAGCCATATAAGGGCCTATGGAGAATTGTTATCAGAATTGACGGCAACAGGTGTCCACCAGAGATGGTCACTGTCACCGTTCCTATTTAGGTTCATTATTGACGTACTAATGGATATAACTGGGATCTACTCCCTAAGGGAGATCTGGTTAACTTAGAGCACGTAGATGTTACTGCCTTAATATGTGAGGACGCTGACAAAATCTAGAGTTTTCTGAACACGTTGAGCAAAAATCTGAGCATATCTGGCATGCGTTTTGTTGATACCTATCAAATGTTAAAAGGTGTTTTAGGACTGGTCTACAACTACTACTAGTTTAAGAATAGGAATAGGGTAATGGAATTTGTCAACCACTTCACTTACTTGGGGAGTTGCATCAGCCCAAGCGGGTTGGTTGCTGATGAAATCTCACCTGGGATACAGTAAGCCCGTTTAGTATTTATCAACTTTCGTCATGTGTGACACCGACTGGTGAGATACTTAAATCACGCGAGACCAAGCCAATCGATGTGGTTGTGAACCTTCACCGACTAAGGTGGCTTGCAAGTATATTGCAAATACCGAACCATCGCCACCTATATGTTGGGAAAAGTTGGGTTAGTTTGGGAGAAGGTGTAGACTAGCTAGAACAATATGTGGCACCGGTCGATAAAGTGTCTAAGTGTTGCTCTAAGCCATGTTGGAAGACGTAGACTACCTAGTTGAGGTCTTCTATAGGATGGGAATCTATGGTTGAGGACTCTTGGTGACCTGGGTGGAGATCGATCACAATGCTATAGATGTGTTTACTCCTTGACGTCTTCGAAAGCTTGAATACTCTCACTAACCTTTCAATTGCAAGAAGGGCTGCCTTGTCAAACTCGCAAAGAAGGGAGACCTATGTCTTTGGAAGAACTGGCGCGAAGTCATACTACTGTTCACCCAGAGCAAGCAAAATAAAATGCCGCATCATTCTGGAAAGATTAAAGGATACACTGGATTCAAAATTACGACGGGAACAGACTGTTTGGCTTCAAGAAGAACAAATCATGTACGGATGAAATTGCAACGCAACGCTACGCTACGCATCATCATATAACAGAGCATAGAATGGCAGTCAACTCTGTACCTCAACTTCATGGATTTTGAGAAGGCCTTGGACAGCGTCGATGAAGAAGTAATCTTGCAGGCAGCTGCTTCAACACTGAGGTTTTAGTACGACAAACCTTTATCAAGCTGATTGAACAGCAGGTATGTGGTATATGAGGATGGTATATGCGAAGTGATTGACAATGGCGGGCTCATTGATGCCTCTGAAGTGAAGTGAAGTGAGGTGAAGTGGATACAGGAAGGAGTAAGACAAGGTTTCCGCCTAGTATGACTGATGATGTTTGTGATTGTGGTGGAGTGTACAGTAGTGGAGTGGATGATGGGAGGAAGTGTGATGAGGGAGACGATGGTCATACGCTGTGTGTTTGAGGTATGAGAGGAGCGTAGAAGATTTGTATTTGATGGATGATGATTAATGTTGAATGTCTGATGTTGCAGAAAGTCGAAGATGTAAAGGCGAAAGGTAACAACAAGAACAACAAGAACAGCAACAAGAAGAAGGAGAAGAACGCGCACCAATGACCATGAACGGTTGAAATGTGAAGGAAGTTATCTCTCTCACCTGCCTTCGTATGCAGCATGGTTTCAGGTACAGGCTGCACAGGTAGAGATGGGGTGTGTGAAAGCCAGGATGGAGAAAGCTAGGTAGATCAGGCGTTGATTTACCTGAAATCAGTGTGGATATCTACTACACTGAGCACGTGGAAGCAGATGCAGGTTTTGAAGACTAATTGAGTGAAGTGAGTTAGTGCTTGTATATGGTTGAGAGACTTTGTGCATTACGAAGAGCATTTGCAATAAACTGCAGACATAGATGAAGAGCTGCCGCGTATTCTCACTGGATACTGAAAATGAGTGGATATGATATGGCGATAAAGAAATAATGAGGGAGGAGTAAGTAACAGTGGTGTGTGTCAAGTAAGCAAGTGAGACTGTGTTGGCCAAGGAGTATGGAGAATGATAAAGTGTAGATGAATTAGATTGTGCCTACAGTGATGAGAGGGTTTGTGGAGATGAGGTGTGAGGTGTGAGTCTGTTGAGTGTAATGGAGTTGGATGTGTCGGTGTGAGATGAAGTAGATGGTGTGGTGAAGAAAGTAGAGGTTTTGGGTAGTTGTGGAGTGAGGTTGAGAGAGAAGAGTGGAGAGAAGAGAGTGAAATGGTGACGTTCTCCTGAAGCTTGTATGTTCCACTAGGAACCCAAAGGACAAATAATAATAATAGTAATAATAACCTTGATGTTTTAATCTATTCTCACCCCATACACTGTTTTCTACTTTGTTATCAGTGTCTTTGTATTCACTTGTTCTATGTTTACTACACTATGAAATGTTACAATTTGTAACACTTTAGCACTTTTTACGATCGGCTCAGTTTTAATGTGTTACTGGGAAATACCATCACTCATTTGGAGGCAGGAGATACACTCAGCTGACAAGTGAGTTCCAAATGGAATGAAATGCGCGTCCTTGACTTCACTCTAGTTGCTGCTCTCCATCATTGCTACCGAACTTATTCTGATAGCTTAACGGTCTGCACTTCACTCCCCAGTCTTACATAATATATCTTATGTAACCTGTATACGTTAGGCTTGTCGTTGAACAGAATAGTTAGATTATGTAAAAAGAAGCGAGTGATTCATCTGTGTTCAACATTACATGTTGTTAATGAGTTGAGGTCAGATTGAATCATTGAAAAGTGTGGTTTTTAATATACTACTAAAATTGCTGATATAAAAACTTATATAAAAGCAGACAGTGATCATACTTCAAGCTATAACGTAGTAGATAAGATCATAGGCTATTGGATTAAAGTCTCACTGACAGCATCACTGACAACTGATGAATCCAGTGTTGGACGAAACATGCATTCTGAATCTCATTGTCAGCTAGCTAGATAGCTACCATCCATATATTCTGTTTAGCGGTTTACTGGTATTAAACTGATTAGGTGCAGGTTCGAACCCTACTCAGTCTATTATTAGAAGTCATTACTCAGATTGACTACAGTTCCATAGTCCAGTAAATCATCGCTTTCTGAATTGATGAATTACATCATTGTAATATCAAAGTTATCTGTCATTGTTTATTAGTTCATCAACTTCTACTTCTTATACTAATTTACAGCTGATTTTGGTGTCGCAGCTCAAATAACTCAGACAATTCAACGTCGAAATTCATTTATTGGAACACCATATTGGTAAGTGTGAAACACTTGTATTTTTGCCTTCATTGAATCTGAGAAAAGCGGTGGATGATTTTGAACCTCTTTGTCTTTCTATTTTACCAAAATTATAAACAAGCAGTCAGGTAACATCCTCCTTAGCACACGACATGTCGAGGTAGGTGGTTGTTTAGCATATGCAGTACATGTGAAAACCATCTCAGTCGATGGAGGTTCACAAACTTAATCAGTCGATTTACATGTCTTGCTTAGTGCCTTTCGCCTGATCTCAAAATTGCTTACACAGTGATTCCAACACACACGAGTAATCCTACGATGACATCAGTGACCTGTAACCGCTTCCTATGGTCTACTTTTAATGGTCATCTCTCAGTCATACAGAAGGTTAGGACGAATTAAAGTACAGTATACTAGCCAATTGATACATAGTTGACTATCTCAGCAGTCAGTACAAACGACAAACAGACCTCCTGTATCCGAGTTGAGATTTTGTCAGCAACCAACTGAAGTAAGTGAAGTGGTCGAGATATTCCACCACTTCACTCCCAATCATTAAACTAAGAGTGGCTGCAGCACATCAGTTCTGCGGTATCATCTCACATACCAGATATACTCAGATTTATGCTCAACCCCTACGTTGAGTTCAGAAGACCCTACATTTCGTCAGAGTCATTTGGACATACTCCACGTAATAGTAGGTCAATCCGTATGAAGTCAGACCTACCTAAGGTTATGTGAATTAGCACGTGTATGACGAAGACAAAGGCACCACTAGTTGTCGTCTCGGTCCCACTCGAGACACTGGCCTGGCGCGTGATGTCACCAGTCGGCCTTCTTAGGGATAAAGAAAATCAACACAGAACCTTGTACACTCCTTTATCATATTTCAAGTTGTCACAAACACTTCACAGTAGTATACAAAGTACAGACTAAGTTGTCTATGAGAAGAATTTACAATTTGTAGTTTACGCGGTTAGTACAGATATTCATACTTTAAAAGACATCAAGCGCCATCTATTATGACCGATTTTCAGCTATGGTGTTATGGTGAGAATAGGTTGTTCAAGTTCATATTCACTATGAAGAATTAGGGAGGATATTGCACAGCAACTTTCTTATCTTCAGCAGTGCCTATATCAAACAAATTGCTATCAACTGTATACATTACACTTGTAGTTTTTGTTACAATCAAACAGTGATTGAGGCTATATACTTTATCAACAATCCTCTTTTTGTTTTTATATTTATAGGATGGCACCTGAAGTTGCGGCTGTTGAACGTAAAGGTGGTTATGATGAAAAATGTGATGTATGGGCATTGGGTATAACAGCTATTGAATACGCTGAACTTCAGCCTCCGTTGTTTGATTTACACCCTATGAGGTATATACGTATATCCATTTTTCTATCTACATGCATAACTTTTCAGCTTTTATTTTATCCATTTTTAACACGTGGTGTCACCACACCACGTGAGTAAACGCAGACGTCAGGTGTAGAGTGTTATAGAGGGAGTAGAGGTAAATCAGTTGACGAGGTTACCAACCTTCATCGATTGAGGTGGATGGTTGGGACACGTACTACGACGTATGCCTATTCACCGATTTCCTCATCACCCAATGTTGGCCGAAGTAGTTTGAGGCTGGCAAAAAGGGTTGAGGTGGCCAGACTAAAACATGACACCAATGTATGAAGTGTTTACCTGTTGGTTTTAACGATGTGTGGCGATGTAGACTAGGTGGTTGGGGTTTTGCGAGACAAGAAGAACCAGTGATTGTAGACTGTAAGTGATCCCATGGCTCAGAACCGATGTGAGTGGCGCATATATATACATACATTACCCTCATCTTAATGACGCTATATCGAATCTCACCATTTTATCATTCCTCCTTTCTTTCTTCTCATACTTTATATTCCTTTTGACGACATTCTCTTATCTTCATCTTCCACCTCACTACCTTTCTACTTGATGTAGTGATATGAGGTGTGGCAACTCGGACCGTTACGCAGTAATGCCTGGTCCTATGTTGATATTGATTGATTGATTAACGTTTCGCTTCCTGTAGCAAACTTGACAGCTTCTCACAGAATTCATCCGAGCTACAATCAGTAGGTGCGTAGGAGGAGATTACGAATAGGCGTCGGTTCCTCCCATAATCGTCCTAGTTCTTACACATTCATTCAGTTGAACGGCACATAGACGGTTGTTGACGGGAATTCAGTTGAAAAGCTCACTTTCTGCCCTACAGCTCAATACTATGCCTACACCAGAGAGTTTACGACTGGAAGCCACTGAATCTCTGGACACTCATAAGGTGATTATTGAAGACTCATCATATTGGCTAGATAAGGTCAAGTTAATAATCACACTAGGGTCTTGTGTACGTGTCTCAGATGCCTGTTGTTTGATTTTGTATAGGGTTCGGACGTTGAAAGCTCCAATGTTTTACTGACAGCAGAGTTTTAAGAGACTAGAAATGATATTTCCTTGACTTAAATCGTTGGCAATAGTGATAGAGTGAGAGATTGAAGTTGTAAGAGATTTAGTATTGATATCAGGAAGTGAAGGCAATCGACGAGATGAAGATATGGAGTGTTATGTTTTATTGGGTTTTGTATACTACTGGAAGTATGCAGGTGGTTAACACTTCCCAGCGCCCACATCGTGAAAAGTCAATTCTCCTTGAGGCACTTGAAAATGGAGAGTTAGTGCGTGACGGTAAAGCCATAGAGATATCCGCTTAAGGCCAGTCACGTGCATCCATTTTAGAAGTTTGAGGTTTCATATAGCTTTTTTTCAAATCTGACAATGAACCCAAAACGCCAGCACAGGTATGTCGCAAGGTAGAAGGGAGTCTGGTATTTTTAGGGTCGACTTTTCCCAGCGCCACCACCTTTCCGTAGTGAAAGCAGTATCGGCGTAGTACTGCTAGTCACTGAAGGGAAACAACTTACTGTTGCCACACCCCAGGCAGTCAGTAGTCGTCGAACCTCGTCATAGCGTAACCATTTACACTATAACAGTAACTACTTTTTGTCTTACCACTATCAAACCGACCTTTTGACGAAACAAGCGTTTTGTCAGGATAGCTAGTTGGATCACTGTGATATTCAAGCCCGATGAGTGCTTTAAAGTAGCAGTCATCGGTCAGGCATTACGACAGCAACTTGACGAGAATATTAAGGATGCTTTCAATGAAAACTCCCTAAACAATTATCGAAACAGGACAGTATCAACCTGAACCTTGGACGGTTATGCAGTAATGCCTGGTCCTATGTTGATATTGATGATGATGATGATGATGATGATGATTTTTAACACCTTCATCACCAGCTGTAGGATATTCCAAATAGATATACTACGCACGCTTAACTGACAGGTAACTTAGTATGCAAGAGCCACCGTCTACAACCCCGGAACGAGTAACGAGAGAAGATCGAAGCTGGGATGATGGGAGAGTTTGCTCCTCCGAGAATAATAATCACTCAGTTAATTCAAAACCATATGAGTGTGTATACATATGAAATATGACTTTGTCAGTAAATTGATACATTGACATAGTAAGAGTAAGGATTAACCAACCATCGAATTACATTACAATAGGGGACTACTAGTCATACTGTAAAAATGGTGTGAGAATGCCAGATTAAAAATGTTTAGATCCATAACAAGCCCGGGACCTGACAACACCTTGACCTTTCGGGATCCAGTTGGAAATGAACTGTTTGAGACCGCTTACGATTCGTATATCCTCTAGGTTGAGGCTGCCTGTTGGTTACAGTTTCGTGCTTTTTCAGTGTCGTTGGTTATTTAAACGTATCCAGTAGAATATTGAGTGGTATGATTGAATTGACTGGTTGATTGGCTTTTTCTGTGACGCATCTGGTTGTTGTGTCTCTCCCATTTCTTCTGACATCACACTCCCACGTTTTCGCATGACCAACACCTTCCGTCTACATGCCATATCCTGCTCTCTGATCTTGTACGTAGACAGAGTCTCCCTTGTTGAAGTGTGTTCCAATTGTTTGCGTTGTTTGTGTACGACGTGGTGGTACCATTGCGTAGTATGGCGTACGTAGCTTCCTTCTTAATAAAATTTCTGCAGGAGATTTGCGATCTGGTAGGGCGTCATTTGGCGTTGAGTGATAGATGGATAGAAATTGTTGTATGACACACCTGTTTCCTCCTCCTCTTTCTACTTTAAAGAGAGTTGGCTTAAAGGCATCAACAACTGTTTTTGCCTGGCCATTGGATTGTGCATGGTACGGTGGTTTACGAATGTGATGGATTGCATTCACATTGCAAAACTCGGCAGCCTCACGAGAGGTGAATGGCGACCCATTATCTGAAACAATGGTCTCGGGCAACTCATGGCAGATGAAAATACTTTTAAGAGTAGCGATTTTCCGGCGTGATGATACAGGTGATACTGCGATGATCTCCGGTCACTTGAAATAACCATCAACAAGAATCAGATAGTAGGTTCCATGTAATGGACCTACGAAATCGATGTGAATTGTAGACCAAGGTCGATCTGGCAATGGCCAACGCTTTGGTTGAAGACGTGGAGGATTCTCAGCTGCCTTATGACATGATGCGCAGCTATATCAGGATCTATATTGGACCAATAAGCATAACCTCTGGAGATGGCTTACATGGGTTCTATTCTTGGATGACCAATGTGAAACTGTTTTAGGAGTTTTGCACGAAGAGACTGGGGGATCACTACGCGTTCTCCGAACATGAGACAATTGCTGATGACACAAAGGGGATTCTCTTATACGGAAGAGTTGTTTCAGGTCACCGGTAAACAACTTTTGTGGCCATTTCATTTGGACATAATACATGACTTTCTGTGTGATGTAGTCGTTACATGATTCATTTTCGACTTGAGCCGACGTGACAGGAAGTGCGTGGATGGCATAATCCAGTAGGTGAACTGGATAATCCTTTGTGGATACTAATGCGGTGTAAGCATATCTGACGCCACTTCCACTTTGTTGCAGACCATATTCAATGGAAAGTCAGCAAGTTTCGAACTCTCGAACGAGTCGAGACCCAGTTATTTCTTCATATTTAAGTATAGATTCAGTTTAAGTGATGGGTCATGAAGAATCCATTAGTGTTGTTCACAGCTATTTTCACTATAGATCAATGGTAGGCATACAGTGAGCAGGAGAGGGAAAGTATGTTGAGCAACTGTCTCTAATGACTTTGGACACCTGAGACCAGTGCACACCAGCCTAACCCACTGGGGTTGAAGTCTAGAATCGTCAGAAAGACAGAACCATCGTAGAATCGTGTACACACCTATATCCGTTGAAGTTATCACACACTTCATAGTAGTATACAAAAAACGGGTGGATAGAAAAGGTATGATATGACAAAGTAGACGAAGGTGTATTGAAGGAGAAGGAGTTTGAAAATGAAGGTTATTGTGTATATTCAAGCTTTAGACGACGTCAACGGGTGAATACATCCGCTGTATTGTCACCAAAGGTTTTCAACCATACCCATACCCATTCGCACCATTCTGGTTAGCCTAAACTTTCTTCCAACCTAATCCCAACAGATTAGTGGTGGTAGCTCTGTCGGTAAAGGTCCACAACCTCATCGATCCATTTGCCTATCTTGCCTAGTGTTTAGGATCTTCAAGTCTTACTGAGAGTATGGTATCATTCGACCATCGGATTGATGGAATCTCATCGAGTGATGTCCGTGAAGGATGCCCACTATCTCCATTTTTATTCAATTTTATCATAGATATTCTTATAAGAGGTCTCCCTCTGGTCAACAGGTTACACAGATGTTGACCTAGTCACAGGAGAATTTTCGTTAGACCTAAAATATGCAGATGACATAGTCCTGTTAGGTGAAGACGCTGACTGATGAGATGCAGAGTCTTCTGGACATTTTGAGTAGCAATTTGAGAATATTTGGGATGCGTTTCTCACCAGCGAAATGCATATTGTTACTCCAGGATTGGTCTTCAACGGTGCCTCTTCGGCTAATAATAGAGAGTGAAGTGGTTGAGTGTGTCAAAAGGCTCGATTAGCTTTTACCAATTTACGCCACCTGTGCCGCTGTGGTGATATACGATTGTCTATTAAGGGTCGCGTGTACTGCACATCAGTCCGCTCTGTTCTGCTGTATGGCTGTGAAGCATGGCCATTGAAGGTAGAAGACATGAGAAGGCTTGAAGTGTTTGACCACCGTTGCCTTCGTCGTATTATGGGACGTATTCTGTGGTGTCACCACACCACGTGAGTAGTGCAGACGTCAGGTGTAGAGTTTTAGGGAGGGAGAAGAGGTAAGTCGGTTGACGCGGTTATGAACCTTCATCGACTGAGATGTTTGGTTGGGACACGTACTACGACGTATG